AGCAGGGGTGAAATACAGCAATGACAAACCATGGATTTTTAGCAGAACTCAGACAGCTTCAGAGGGAAAATGAGGCAGCATTCAGGAATGGAGACAAAATTCTCTACAAAGAGGCCAAACACACTCTGGAGAAAGGGATTAAAGCAGCAAAGAAGAAATACTCCAAAAAGCTGAAAAGCCATGTTGCTGCTAATAACTTTAGTCTGGAAAGGCCTCCAAAAGATCACCATCTACAAGGTGAGAAAACTTCCCCTTCTCCTTAATGACCACCAACTCACCAATGACCTGAATGAGTTCTACTGCAGGTTTGAATGCATTCTTCAGACGTTCTCTGCCAGTCCCCCGCCCTCCTTCCCTGCCCAGTCCCTCTCATCTCTGCCCCCCCGCTCATCTCACCCCCCCACTCATCTCACCATCAACGAGCAGGACGTTAACAGGTTTTTCAGTAGTTAGAAGGTGAGAAAAGCTCCGGGGCCAGACTAAGGCTCAATCCCATTTCACCCTTTGCCCCTACCACTTAGCCCTTAGCCCTCTGTTTTGTTCGTTCATGTCTAGGGGTCCCCATTTTTGTTGAGATAGAGGGGTAAGGCGAAGTGTTAGGGCTATATGGCCCTCCAAACGGAGGTTTTTCAGAGGCACACTCCAAACGGAGTGTTATGAGAAAAAAAAGAAATACCGGCAAGATGGCTTTGCGAGCGACCAAAGAAACCCACAAATATGAGAATTTTCTCCGTTAAAAAATTACGATAACCATTGTATTAACTTCAATGTCGTTTCAATGTATTACGGTCATTTTCTTTGTAACAAGCATAAAAAATCGCTAAAAGTATGCTAATGTCTCGGTAGCTAGCTAGCTAACTTTCCCGTTCCACTTTAAATCGTCCAGCAATATTGACGCCTGAAGCACCAGAATGTAACTGTTGCAGCATTTAAGGTGGAACGGGAAAATCTGAACAAGAACCTGGTGAATAGCTGACTTCAGCTTTGTATCACCAAAGAATTAGAGGTGGGCAATAATAAATAATTGTCTTATACCCCCTCTTTGAAAGCATATGATGTAAGTAAATGTAAGTAAAGCCCAGCAGCGAGGTTGCTGAACTTTACCCTCCTCTGCTATCACTGAAGACAGGCCAGGTCGCCTACAGAGCACCGCTAGTAGCCTGTTAATGAAGCAGTGTTTTGAGGGTTGTCCCATTTCGTAGGGCAAGATTTCAACCACTACCCTGTGTAACTCCATTCCAAGGGGTTAGGGTGACACTTGAAAACAAGGGGTAGGGGTAAAAAGAAGAAATGGGATTGGGCCCAAGTCTCTCCATCCACCCTAAAACATTCCTGTGACCAACTAGCATCTTCAACAAATCACTAGAACGTTTGCTCTGTTTCCACATGCTTCAAACATCTGCCATCATTCCAGTCCCCCCAAAAAATGAACATTACTGGACTAAATGACTACAGGCCAGTAGCCCTGACCTCTGTAGTAATGAAGGTCTTTGAATGTCTGGTCCTAGCCCACCTAAAGGCCATTACAAACCCTGTGCTGCATCCCCTGCATTTCTTGTACAGAGCTAACAGGTCTGTTGATGAAGCAGTCAACTTGGCCCTGCACTTCATGCTACAGCATTTTGACAGTCCTGGAACTTATGCTAGACTTCTGTTTTTGGACTTTCAGTACTGGTGTACCACAAGGTTGTGTGCTCTCACACCTGCTCTTCAGTCTTTACACACATGACTATGTCTCTAAGGAACCAGCTGTGAAGATCCTGAGGTTTTCAGATGACACCACTGTGACAGGCCTCGTACCCAACGGGGATGAGTTTGCCTACAGAAAGAAAGTCGAGCAGCTGATCTTGTGCAGCAGCAACCACCTGCTGCTCAGCACACAAGAGACTGTAGAGATGATGGTGAACTTCAGGTGCAACCCGCCCTCCTTACCACATCAACATCAATGGCTCTGTGGTTTCCACTGTGGAGTCACCCAAGTTCCTGGCCACCACCAAATCCAGGGGCCTGAAGTGGAAGAGGAATACATCCTCCATAGCCAAGAGAGCACAGCAGAGAATGTTCTTACTGAGATAGCTAAAGAAATTTAATCTGCCACAGAGCTTGGTGATCCAGTTCTACACATCGATCATCGAGTACATCCTCACATCATCCATAATCATCTGGCTTGGTTCCTCCACCTCACAAGAACAAGCCAAACTCCTGTGCATAATCAGGACAGCTGAGAGGAATATCGGATATAGTCTGCCAGCGCTTTAGGACATTTACCGCGCTGGCTAAATAACAGCTGACCCCTCTCATCCTGGACATCACCTCTTCCAGCCATTTCCATCTGGTAGAAGATTCAGGGCCATCAAAAGTAGCACAACCAGATATGCCAACAGCTTTTTCTTCAGGGCTGTAGCACTCATCAACCACAGGGGACACCTTGCACTTTAAACTTATACTAAACCAAGTAAATCCTTACTGTATTACATAACTCCTCTGTAACGTAATGCTTATTTGCTGAATAGATGTTAAATTTTTGCAAATAGTCATATCATTCAGTAATATTCTGTATATAGTAGTTTTTCTAGTATATGTCTACTCAGACCTGTATATGTATGGATATTCTTATCTGCATATGTACAGATATTCACACATCTCTTTAGTTCATCTTTATGGCCTTTTATATCATTTATTCTTTATTCTATTTATTGTATTTTTATTTTAATATACACTTAGTTAAATACTTGTCAACAGTCTGTTTGCTTGGCTGGTCTGTTTAGTATGCTACATGTCATACATGTGTGTGCTCACCAAGACAAATTCCTCGTATGTGTAACTTTACTTGGCAAAATAAATTGGCTCTGATTTAGATTCTGAACTGTAGGGGTTTAAAGATGTGTGGGTGGGACGAACCACATCAGCCTTGTAATTGGTGAAAATACTGCCTACATAGGCACTACACAAGATTAGAACCACCTAGTTTACATAGGGAGAGGATAGTTTTCTAGGTAAACATGAGTCAACACATCTTCTACAGTGAAGACACTAAAGTGTGCCATTTTTTCAAATTTAAATGTAAATTTGCTAAGTTTAACATAGCAATAAAAATAGATAAACGCACACATACACAGACATTTTTAAACCAAATTACCTTTTGGGTCACGGGGGTGGGGGTGTGCTGGAGCCTATCCTAGTGGCCCTGGACAGGTCGCCAGTCCATTGCAGTTCCCAGTATATTAAATTCAGGACACACAGACATATACATTCACACACACACACACACTTAAAGGCAATTTAGCGTGTCCAGTTAGCCTGACTGCATGTCTTTGGATTGTGGGAGGAACACAGACACAGGGAGAACATGCAAACACCACACATAAAGAACCCTGGTCGCCCAGCCAGGGAACTGAACCCAGGCCCTTGCTGTAAGGCGACAGCACTACCCACTACCCACTGTACCACCCAGAATTCAGCAGATGAACACTAATTGTGCATTATAATGTGCAGAAAGAAATCAACCAAACGTAATTTGACCATGGTGTTTACACTTTTGCCCGTGACTGCATGTTTCTGTGCAGTTATTAAATACTAGGTGTTGTTGTTTTCAGGCTGTCTATAATTGGTCTAAATCTTTTTTGTAATGATACATGAACAATATACAGTTGTTTAGTGTTCTAGATGTACTGATAATATCCGTGTGTTGTGATGTTAATTATCATTATAAAATCAAACTTGACGCAATCCGTTATATTTTCATTATTGTCACTTTATTATTTTAGTCACTTGTTTCCTTCAGAGTGTTGGCCTTTCTTTAACAGCTTCTGATCTGAGAGCAGTTTTGTGTTTGAATTTGTAATGGCTAAGATAACGAGATGTAAAGGAAATAAGGGAAATACTGTCATCTTTCACTCCACTAACCCTGTTGTTATTTAAAAATATTAAATCTTATGTTCAAATTTATGGGAGGCAAATCCAGCCAAAAAGAAATTAAAATTAAAACAATAAAATGTAAATGCAAAGCTCTTTTTGCCATTTCTTTTTCCAAATATCTGTGCAAATATCCTGCCAAAATTGAAAATGAAATGAAATACCTACATTTGCGATTCATTTTTCACATGAGCACAAGCAATTTGTGACAGAAATGAAAATAAATTTAAAACTCCTATTTGTCATTTCATTTTAGTCATTATTCTGATAATTATTGTGAAATGAAAAGTAAATCTCTAGCAGGTGGCGTCGATGTTCATTTGCATTTGCCTTTTTATTCTGACACTTAAAGCGCATCCATGCCGAAAACTGAATCACAAACTGTCACTTTCCTGTTGATTTATCCATCTTGCATTTTCATTTTAATTTTGTCAGATATGCAACCTATTGCTATGAAAAAGAAATAAGAACGTAAACATTGCATTTTGATTTTAGTTTTGACATGTATTCTGCATTTCATGAAGAAAAGCCAAAGCCAAAGTGAAGCTTGGATTTTCTTTTCTCTATTAGCTTTTTCATTTTAGAAATGGCCATGAAATATCAGAATAATGACTAAAATGAAATGACAAATAGCTGTTTTAAATTTATTTTCATTTTTGTCATGGATTACTCATGCTTATGTGAAAAATGAAATTGCAAATGTAGGTATTTCATTTCATTTTCAATTTGGCAGGATATTTGCGCAAATGTTTGGAAAAAGAAATGGCAAAAAGAGGTTTGCATTTTCATTTTATTGTTTTATTTTTCTTTTTTTTTTGGCTGGATTTGCCTCCCATACCAATTCAGATGAAGCCTTATAAAACCGTTAAGGTGCAATTCAAGTGTTAAACACATTAAGCACTGTTGCATTCAGAAAGCTTAAGATTATTTGTCTGTCCTTGCTACACAGAGTAACCGAAGGGATGAGAGTATGGGAAGTTATTAGTGAGTCATATTCTTTTGAATTGGAACAGGGTCTGTTTTGTATCCACACTGGCTTTTCAGGGAATCTCGCTGTGACACTGTGTTTGTGTACTCTCCCTCAGGTTCCTCCTGCAACGAGAGGTCAGAGGGGAAGAAGAAAGGGCGCCCCCGTGTGGAAGTGCAGGAGCTACGCAGTATCCCTGTGAGTCCAAACAACAATAAAGCTACTCATGTTCGGTTTTGGCAGTGCTGGGGGAATGTTTTCTGTGCCAGTTCGGGAAAGTCAGGGGATTTTTTTTCTTGTTTTGGTGGAGGTTGTTACAGCAGTGAGGGGATTTTCCACATTATTTCCAACTCTTACAGTTCAGAAAGAGGAAGTTGATCTTGGAGGACTAACGGTTTTGTGGTGTTTGCTTTGTATGTACTAATAGTTGTTAATCACTGGAGGGCATTTATGTGTGTGTCTGTCTGTCTTGCTGTAGGCCCAAATGATGGTTCAGTGGAAAGAGGAATTTAAGAGTCGTTCTCGTGTGAAGTGCCCGAGTTCAGGCTGCTGGCTGGAGTTCCCCAGTATTTATGGGCTTAAATACCATTATCAGCGCTGCCAAGGGGTAAGACCTGACCCCCTCAAAGGCCTATTAATATAGCATATTAACGTATACCACTAAAGCATACCTAAAAATAAACAATAGCCCAAAATCTACATATAAAAATGAGTGTAATACACCTTAACACAACACTCTGTAGCCCTCAACTATACAAACTTGTAAGACTGAAGTCCTGTTTGATTTGGATTTACCTGGGGAGGTTCTGTAATTGTAATTATTAAGATTTTAATTTGAAGAGCCATAATTTTAATCTTATGCAAATCTGCACTGTCCATAGCCCTTACAAGTCCGACTGTAATAAAGGGACACTCCGGCCAAAATGAAAAATAGGAAAAATCGCTATATCTGTTATGAACTTAATTAATTACATCCTACATAGGAGCTGCAGTATGTTCTAGAATACAATTTTCCACTTTAAACATAAGAAAATCCCCCATCTGGTGGTAAAAACGTGTCTCCATGCATCTCCATGCATATATGCCAAGTTTTTATACTGAATAAAGACAGAATCACTGTTCACAATTTTGTAGAGAGAGATGAGTTACAGCAATGCTTACTTGGTTGAATTTATTAGCCTATAAATCAGTGGCTAGACTAGCAGTCTGGATTGATTGACACCACAGGGATTCCCAATGGTTGTATGGTGTATTTGTGTACTGCATGCTGGGTATTGTAATGAGAGAACATTTGGGGAAAAATATAAAAATGATATTAAATCATGAATTGAAACAGATGAGGCTGGGTAATGTAATGAACGTGCTACAGAATACATAACATGACAAATAACATAATAAACTCTAGTTTAAGGTTGGAATTCCCTTATAAGTGTGGGATGAATGACCTTTTGTAAATTGCCAAAACTGGAGCTTCCTCAGTAGAAGCAGTCTTGTTTGAACTGACCTCACACTAATGTTATAACAAAACATGCCAGTAAACAGAGCTATTTTCTATGTTGTTGTTGTTATTGAGTGTTGCTGACATGAACATCTGGACCAGGATGTTTCAATATGTATGTGGTACTTTGGGGGAAATCACACAGGTGTTTTATCATGTACCAATTGGCCAGGTAAATCCTTTACGAATTACATTACAGAATCTCCCCTAATAAAAATTATTAAGCTCAAATGTGCGATAGATTACCTAAAGGTCTGTCTACATTCATCTTAATTACCCATATTTCGCTATGACCACTTTATACACAAGAAGTTAAGCAGTCCAGTGGGGATTTAAAGCGGTTACGACACATTAATACACAAATACTGAAATAATCAAACTTAATGGGGAAAGAGTACAAAAAAAAAATATGAAAGGCAAAAAGGAATGTTACTTTTCCTGTAAATAGTCATAAATGTAGGTGTAAGCATTGTAATTAATCATTGTTTGCATGTCTATGACACTTTACACTCAGGTAAATCTTATCAGATGAGCCCATTTACACTCTGATCAGCTTGATAAATCTTTGAAAAATTCCACTGGGGATTTCCGTATTTTTACACTTTTTATGCTCAAGTCTGTGGTTACCTCTGACTGTATTTGATAAATGAGACCGTTTGACTTGGCCAGGCCAGAATCTAGGAATTGCACCATTAGTATTAATCTAGTGTGCTGGTGTCACAGATACTCTATCTTTCTGTGTGTGTGTGTGCATGTGTGTGTCAGGCGACCATGGCGGAGAAGTTGAGTCACGGCTGCCCATACTGTGAGGCCGTGTTTGCCACTAAAGTGCGTTTGCAGAAGCACAAGCTGTGGAACCACCCGGAAAGGGTCACCATGGAGACCAAGGCCGGGGTGCCCATGGAGACCAAGTCCGAGCCTAAACACGAGTCCAAAGTGCAGAGGGGCACCGTAAAGGGAAATTCCAAAAAGAGGTGAGAGAGGTCCCACCCTAACCTTTCAACTTTAATGGATGGTTCTCATAATATCTACGATAAATGAAAAGTTTGGGGGTGTAGTACTAATAGGAGGTAAACCATTAAGATTCAGTCAAGATGACATGCCTTTATTTCATGGAAAATGAAACAGTTAACAGAAGACTGCTCACACTTTATGTGCCCAGCATCAATCTGCTTACATAACAGTGACACTACTATTCTGTAACTTATCTCAAAAGTCATTTTATAGTCTTTATAAAAGTCTTATTCAAGTCTTTATAAAAAAATGAAAATCATAAAATGCCAGGAAAGGTATTTTTCTTTATTTTTCATAATGTAATAAGATTGTATATATTTAATTAATAGAAAGGTATCATAGCGCATTTAATTTGATGTTAAAACTTGTGCACTGACAATTGAATTTAGCATGTAAGTAGATCATGGACATTGTAATAACATGCACTGACATGTTATTCGTATACGCTTTAGACCCAATGCTGTGGAATCTTGTTTCTTTTTTCTAGCAAATTGCAGCTCCATATGGCGTGATAAAAAAGCAGCAGGGTAAATAGCTCCTCAGTGGACAACAACAGTACTATGCAAAGCTCAGAGACCACTCTTCATTAATTTAGTTATTCAGGAAAAAAGCAGAAATTAACAGAAACCTCAATAACTACATACCCATTTCCAAAAAAGTTGGGACGGTAGGTGAAATGCAAATAAAAACTGAAAGCAGAGATAACTTGCACATTATTGAAAGCACAATTAACACTTTACACATTTTGGAGCAACATATGCTGTCTTTCAGATGCTGTTTTTTCAGGGACACCCATGCTTATTTCAACATGACAACACCAAGCCACAGTCTGCACATTACATCAGCATGGGTGCCTAATCAAAGAGTGTGGGTGCTAGACTGGTCTGCCTGCAGTCCAGAACGGTCTCCCATTGAAAAAATGCTACTTATTAAGCTCAAAATAGGACAACAAAGTCCCTGTATGCAGAGCTAAAGACTTGTATAACAGAAGGATGGCAAGAGACTCTGCTTTCAAAACTCAATCAATTGGTGTCCCCCAAACGGTTATTAAGTGTAATTTTCTGTTTCTCCTGAGTATCCCAACTGTATTCAGTGATATTTAGGTCTGTAATCTAGGGTGGTCAGTCCATTGTTTTAAAAAAAAAACAGCATCTTTTTTGTTTGATAACTCGTTCCTGATGCAAGAGGACTATCTAATATGTAATCTCCTTATAAAGATCTCCTGAAAAATGAATACGTTGTACTCATTGGTTGTTTTGGATATTAAATAAATGAAGAGTGGTCCTTCACCTTTGCACAATATAGTTGGCTATAACACAACCACAGGGTGCAACAAGACTGACAAATGCTTTTGCCATAAACATATTAAAGGTGCAGTGTGTACGATTTAGTGGCATCTAGGGGTGAGGTTGCAATTTGCAACCAGCTGAATACCCCTCCCTCACCCCTCCCTTTTCAAGTGTGTAGAAGATCCTATTGTGACTGTCATGTTTTTGCTTCTTTGACAATGAGGATTCATCCTCCTTTGTTTTTTCTTGTGCTAAATAATAAATATGATGCTCCATTTGTCAACATCTGGGTTCCCAAACATCTCACAACACAAAATGGTTAGCCAGCACAAGCAGTAACCATTGATTCTTCTTCTTTCTGTGTATTCCAACCAGTGCTGTAGTGCCACCAAATTCAAGCTGCTGTTTCAACGTAAAAACGTGAAAGGCACTCTGTAAACAGTGCTTGGTTTGTCTGTTCTGAGCTCCAGTAGAAACATGGCGGCACAACATGTTGGAAGAGGACCTGTTACCTATGTAGATACGAAAACGAAAACACACTGATTCATAGTTACAGGCGAGTATACACTAATGAAAACATGGTTTTGTATATTATAGTCCATTTGTGCTAACCCCTTTAAATCTTACACAGTGCACCTTTAAGTACACCTTTTTTGAAAGTTGTCAACCTAAACAAAGGCAAAATAGACATATTTGTTTCCTTGTGACCGCTGAAGACTTAGCTAGCTAGCACTGTGTGCTACAGGTATTTGATAGTATGTGTGGTAGGAAATGTTTGAGACTTTACAAGCAATGTGAGCAGTCGCAGCTGAGCAGATGCCACCACGTTCAGTGTGAAATTTCTTAGTAACCAGACATCTTTGTGGAACTCGCTAGCTGTCAGGTCAGTGCACAATTTGTAAAAGTTGTAATATAAAGTAGGATTGCTAACCTTAAGCGGTACAGTAGTACGCTGTAGTAAGAGCATGTGTTCCTTGCCCTTGGCCTCAGGCTTATGGAGAACAGCCCCCCTTCACCAGTCTTCTTCAAGGTGAAGAAGACCCAGGAAGTGTCCCAGCCCTTCACAGAATGGGGAGTGTGCCCCCCAGAGGCTTGACAGGAAACAGCAGCACAGCTCCCAGCAACCGCAGCAGCAGCAGCAACAACAGGGGCCTCCTTCAAACACCACAGGGAGTGAAAGTGAGGGAGGGAGTCTGCCTCCACCCTTCCCTGAAGAAGACCCCGAGAGGATGAAGCATAGTAAGGTTACCTCAATACTACTCTATTACAAATTGCTTATGGAGGAATAATTATTGTCAAAAATTCTTCCTCATTCCTGGAGCAGCCTTACTTTATGAGGACTTTTTCACTGGGTTATTATTGTAATCATGTTTACTCAAAATGCAAACTTGAGATTTCAACTTGCAGTGCAAAGCCATATGCAACTATTTGGGCACCCCTGGTCAAATTACGTGTGTTTTTTGGTTAAAGGAAAATTAAGATAACCCCTACAGAGAGCACCCTTCTGCACACTTTAATGCACAGTTACTGTTTATTTTCTGAATGTAACATATTAAACATATTGTGCAAAAGTTGTAGCACATTTTAAATTTTACATTTTTTTTTATTACTTTAAACTCAGCAAATATTTCAAGTCATTTATACCTTTTCTAGAGAAACTTACTAAGTCAGAATTACTCATGATGGTGGTCATATTCAAAGCTTTTGTTGTGTCTAAAAGCTCCTTCACAGAAAGTTTTTTTCACTTGAAATGGTAATAAATAAGCTACTTGATGCCTGAGACTTTGTTAAACGTCCGAGAAAGTTTGGTCTAAAACTTAATTTTAAATGTCTTGCACATGCATTTTAATATACAAAAAAATAGGTATATTTTTGTTTTAATTTACCACTATTTTACGATTGTCAGTAATACAGGGTGATTCAAAAAGATTCATCCGAATTCAAAGTGGCATGTTTTTTACGAACGTGAGGCGCCTAGGAACCAATCACATAACAATTGAAAGAGGGGGTCATAGAGTTTCTGGCTGCCACCGGAAGATGGCTCCCTTCAGTTGAATGAATCTTTTTGAATTACCCTGTACATATGAAAACTTTGATGTGTAGGTTCAGTGGTCATTTTGGGTAGTAATTAAAATGGCTATATTTGTGTTGTAGACTTGGTGACCCGCTGGTTTCTAATGCTACCTTTGAAAAGAAAGGTTTTTCTACAGTGAACCGTTTCACATCAAACTGCTCTCAAAGACTGAAATTTTTCGTTTGCTTTCGGTCTCTCACTGCACAGCACACCAAAAAACATTGAGAACTTTAAAAAAGAAAGGAAGGAAGAAAGGACTGGTGCTTTAGGGACTGACTGTCTCTATATGCCAGCACCATTTCAGGGGCATTTCTCCATTTGAGGGCAGGTCATTGAGCCGATGTGTGGTTGCTGGTGGCGACAGCTTGTTTTCTACCCGACACACACACACACACACACACACACACACACACACACACACACACACACACACATACATACACACTCACACGCACACACAAATGAGATGTCTGTATGGCGCATGCTTTGAGCCTGCTATTTATGGCTTTTGTTTGGGTACACACTCCCCTCGTTTGTCGCTGTACGGCAGAGCCTGCAGAGAGCATCAGTATGTGTGTGTATGTGTGTGTGTGTGTTTGTGTGTGTGGAGTGGTGTCTGAGTCAAAAATGTTGCTCAGGGTTTGAGGAGAAGCTCAGGAGCAGCTGTGTGGGTGACAGCAGTGTGATGATCAAGAACGGCTTCACAGCATGCACGAAATGCAGAAACACACACACACATACATGCTCACTGACGCCCGCTGCAGCCGAGACAAATGACATATCAGCAGACTGCTCCCCTGGCTCATAGATAAAGCCTACGTCAGTTTCCTCTGAGTGGCGATAAATGACAGCGTGCTTGTGTAACACATGGTGGAACAGGTGGTTGCATGTGATCCACTATGATACTGGAGCTTCTGTAGCTGATTAGATAGACAGAATGCTACCTCCATTAGGCAATGAGCCTATGGCAAATAACACTAGTGATTTCCTCATTTAGTGTACTATATTAAAATGTAGTAGGCTTTGAAAGCATGTATGCTGTGGGCTTGGCCGGTAGGGCCGATACTGATTTTAAGAAGCTCAAAAAGTCAAAAATGAAAATTAGACTCCAGTAGTTTTAGTTAAACAACGCATTATTGACGGATCAGATTGTCAGCTGTGAACTGGCAAACATGATTGTCAGCAGTATGATATTTATCGTTATCGAGAAATGTTACATCTTACTAAAAACACTTCCCAACTGGATGTTTGACTACAAGAGAGTATAATAATAGTCTTGTTTATTGAATTTAGCACAGCAAAGTATGGGAAATGTTAAATGCAAATAACTGTATTCATACTTTCTGATAGCAATTTTTAAAATCCAACACTGCTTTGTCTGTTCCAACTTATCAAATGTCAAAAAAAATTAATGTTGTGGCTTATCATGTATGGTGAAAACTTCTTGAAGTATCGTCATCATACATTTTTGCCATATCACCCACCTATAATTGTGAGTCCTCAATTGTCTACATTCCTTCAGTTCAAGCAGCAGAAACACACAGGGTCTTAAATCAGGGGTTTTTCAGCCCTTCCCTGTCCTGGTGACCGCACACTATGCACATTTTTAACCTATTAACCAAGCTTCTTGTAAACTGGATCAGGTGTGTAGAGTAGGGAAAACACAGAAAGGGGGTCGCTGGTAAGGCTGAACAAAAACGTTTAATGGGAAAATATCTACAATTTTTCTGACTAATTTTGCGATTTAAATTGTGATTATTTTCTATATTGGAAAATGAATATAGAGTGCCAGACTGCCAGTTTAGAACGTCTGTTTTAGTAGTTTACATTTCCCCTTTCAAAACTTGTTTCGAAAATGCTAAATAATATAAGACATAATTAAAATTGCAGCTCTTGCGATTTGAAAATTACACTCTTTCACATTGTGATTTCGATATAAAAATGAATAGTCATACAGTCGCCAAGGCTGGAATTGAGAGTCCCTATCTTAAATTATATAGATATTTTAACACCAGTGGTGGAACATTTGTTGGTTTTTCTCTTTTTTTTAGTTCTCTTCATAAAAAGATATTTCTGACTGTAAAAAAAGTGATCAAGGGATTGATGTCATTTTAGCGATCATTTCAAAGACCAGCTTTAATTCCTCAAAATCAAGTGGTGTTCCTCACATAAAGGGGCATCTATTTATTACAGTATAACACAAGCAACTAAATAGTGTTGATTTATTAATTGGATTTTTACATATATTGATATAATATATAATCTCTCTCGCTCTCTCTCCCTATATATATATATATATATATATATATATATATATATATATATATATACACATATATATATATATATATATATAAAATCTGCTAGTCAGTGCTAGACAGTGTGCTTATAAGACTGTATTGAGTTTATACAGCTGGATGGTTAATTACTAAATGTTATGCATGGTGTCTCAGTCAAGATGTTTGAGCTGTTGCTATTTTTCTTCTCCACTTGAGCTAGGGAGGAAGCAAAAAACTCCAAAGAAGTTCACTGGGGAGCAGCCCTCCATCTCTGGGACATTTGGCTTGAAAGGTATTACACATGGTTACATGCATGTGCATGCACACTCACTCAAAGTCTCTCTAGCTCTGTCTCTCTCTCACTTTAAAATTAGTTTAGCTGTGGGGCATTGAAGCATCTTTGCCATGTGGTTGTAATTCTCAGTCTTCTATTCCCTGCTGTAATTGGCCCTCTCTGTGCTAATAGCACCATTAGAGAAGTGTTTCATATCCTGTCGGAGTGGTGTGGGCCTGTTATTTTCACACACACACTGCCAGAGGACAAAGCACACTGCAGTAGCAGATTCATTCACACGTATGACTCCCTCCTCTCAAAGTATGGATAATAAGTTAGTGATTAAGTTTATCTGGGAGATTTCACCTCTTTAGCATTGTTTATGCATTACAATGTCCCATTTTAGTTATACTTAGTGATTTAGCTGTTGCTTTCACTGGAAGCCAGTTATAAACTGCAGGTACAGTTTCCGCAAGGTAATTGGGGGTTAAGTGCAAACACACAATGGCTGTAGCCATCAGCTGGGATGAAACCTATATCCTCTTGAGTCCATTTATTAGATATTACCCTGCTGTCTTTCTTTTGATACATTCTAGAGTCTCCCTTCTAAAACCCTCTTGTGATTATGGGGTGTTGTTTTTAGGTAGGCAGTATGGCAATGTGTTATTGTGACAAATTATGTCACAATCCACTTCTGTGCTATGATTATTGTCACTACTTACAGAATACTGAGCAACTGCGTGTATCATAAAAAAGACCAATTCTAGAGCCTATAAACAAGAACAGTCAATGTATAGTAACTACATAAACACAATAATTGGATATCCCATTATGTCATTATATAATTTTATGAATTTATTTTTACAGATTTTTTTTCCTGATTTTCCTTCTATTTCTTTTCAAGGGGTTTATATTCCTGATTTTTCTTGTATCCACAAATAACATTTTTATATGACCATCAAAATTGGCCTGTATCTTTCTATTTCTTGTATTTTATTTTTGCCTGAAGATCCACTTATGTTGTTTTTATATGGCCATCAAAATTCATTTATGTATGACCATTTCAAACCTATATTCTATACCTCAGAATTATAAATGAGCTCTGTTCTGATTGTCTGGTATTGTCCTTCATTCAAAAAACAGTCCAGGCTGAAATGCTCCTTGTGCATATATTTCCTAACAGCTTTTTTGTTTACTTCAAAGGTTGCATCACTGTTTCAATGTAATTTGTGCATTTTGTCACAATAAAATAAATACGATATTGTATATGGTGAAAATGCCTTTAACAATCATAACATTATATTATTGTCACACCACCCACCCATGCTGTGTGTTATGTACAGGGATGAATAAAGTAGAAGAGAAGCTAAAAGCAGGCAGAGCAAAACGGCCAGAGGGGGCCGTGTTCAATGAGGAGCCCCAGAGGAAGCAATTAGCTACTGCTCCATCCAGGAGAGAACCCCCCTCCCATACTCAAGGTAGAGAGAACTCTATTGTAATATCACCTGGACACTGTAATTTCAGTCTTAATCAGGCTTGCTTTTGTCCTCCTTAGCGGCCCCTGCTGAAGCTCAGTGGCAGCACACAATCTCAGAACGGGGTGAGGTGTCCTGCCCCACTTGCTCCGTCGTCACCCGCAAAACCGTCCCAGGCCTCAAGAAGCACATGGAGATCTGTCAAAAGGTCAGCGACCAGGCCAGTTGGCAATTAAATATCTGGAATGCTGTTTATAATGTCTGTCTATAACTGCTAGATGGCCTATTTTTTGCATTGGAAAAATTGAGCTTGCCAGCCATGGTATCTATATGTGGCAGAATAATCTGTGTTGGTTTCTGTAAACAATGGCAATGGCAGTCCTAACATCAAGTAGCCTGTACTGCCTTCTGCCCTGCTTTCTGTGCTGCTGCTGCTTCATTGAGTTTGGTGCCGTGCCATCATATCTACAGAGGTGATTCTGCACAGTGGCACTGACACTTTGTCAAAGATCCAACATGATAATCTTCTAGAAGGAAACTGCGTCATAGCTGATATGCAGTGCATGCTCTTGCCTATCCTAATTCCTTTCAGCACTTTCATCTGTTCTTGGCTAAATATTCAATATGTGATATTATAGCCTATAAAAACTCTCATTCGCAGAGATATTGTTAACTTTCACTTGGGATGCACCAATACCACTTTTTCTCTTCTGATACCGATACCTGATCCTTGAAAATCTGTCGAGACTGCAAAAACTGTTCTAAATTGTTTCACATCCAGACTCTGCTGAAGTAAATATAAATCATTCATGCTGTCAGTAGTGGTGAATGAGCTGCAGATTTCTTGGCTGAAATGAAGCAAAAGGTGCAAGACCCGGCTGTTGCGTAATGCAGCTGATCAGTGGAGGTGAACTGCATGCGGAGCTGGTGGACACAAGGCCCTGGCTAGTGGACTGATATGCTAAAGGCTAAAGCAAGATTAAAGGCTATCATAACCCCAAGAGACTGGCTGTTTTTTCTATATGTCTCTGTAATGTTCATTCCCTCGATAACAACCTGGATTAACATTAACCATAAGATGCGAAGGTTAGCATGTTTTACACTGTTTGTGTGTTGCGTTATCTGATGTATTTGTGACATATTGGTGAATCTAATAGCTTAAGAAGAATTACTAACATTATATCACCTTCTACTACTACCTTTTTACGAAAATCTGATGTTACAGATTTTGCCATGAGCATATTACTGCTGCTTGTCAGCTCACACCACTGACGTGTTGTTAAGTTCTGTTTACTGGTGCACATGCACCGAGCGTCAGCGCGCGTATCTGTTAGAAATTGTGTGATGGTAACGGTCAAAGGTATTGGTATCCTCATTGCCGATACCGATACTGCGTTTAAGTGCCAGTATTGACCCTGATATTGATACGGTATCTGTAACACAAGCCTAACTTCAACTATGAATTGTTAAGAGTCCCTACAGGGATGTTGTTTATCAGTGTAGTATGAAGTCTTTAGTCTGTTTGATCTTGTTTGTTGGCCACTTTCTGCTTTTGTTTGCTTGGATTATTTGGGGAAATTGATGGAGCTGACCTTGTTTATGCACTTTTGATCACTTTTGACTTTTATGCACTTGTTTAGCACTTTTGATCTTGAAAAAACCTTATTTGAACCTAGACCTGTGTCTGGTGACAGTTTAACAAATTACTGTGTTAATGGCCCCAAGTGACAGTAAAAACTTTAACATTTATTGATGTATTAAAAAAAATGTCACTCATTTGTTGATTTGTTTCATGCAGACCATAGACAGACAGTAGCATTTCCACACATGAACATAATTGAACATTTCAAAAACTTGGTCATATGATATCTTACATTAACAACACATTTGTTGTTGTAGTGTTAATTTTGTGGTCTAAATAATGATGACAATACACTACAGTGACAAATTTTAAAGAACAGAGCTGTTATGTTTTTTATATTTGACAAAGATTAAGCATCAACACTAGGGATGGGCACAGGTACACGAAAACTCAATTAACCGTTCGATGTGCAAGTATTCGAATACCGATATCGCTATTCAGTAGAGATGTGCCAATGCAACTTTTTCCCTTCCAGTACGATAGCTGATCCTTAAATACAAGTTCCGATAGCAATCCTAACTCTATTTAACCTAGCTCACCTATAAGTCCTGATATTTAGCCGATTACATTTTAAAAATATTTTATTTTGGTAAAATCTATGTTTTCTGTCACTCATGACACATACTCATGCTTATGAAAACCTAAGGTGCAGTGGGTATCGCTGTCGCCACACAGCAAGAAGGGCCCAGCGTGACCAGGGTCATTTCTATATAGAGTATATTTATATGCTATACTGAAGGCTAAATCAGTTGAAAGCCCAGCAGTTCTTCTCGCTCCCTTAATTACAACCTGGACTAACTTTAACCCCTTAAAGTAGCATTTTTCCTGCTGCTTGTCAACCCACACGCGTTGTTTAGTTCTGTCTACTGCCGCGCATGAACATGTCAGCGCATGTGCACATCAGAAATTGCTTTGCAGTCTTGGTCATAGGTATCGGAATCCCCATCACCGATATCGATACTGCATTTAAGTGGCAGTATCGGTGCCGATATCGATACAGCATCGGTATTGGTGCAGCACAACTATTTGAGTATTAACTGTGTTTCATCACAGGAAGACAGAAAATACATAGGCTAACAATTCAGTGAAACGAGACAGATTTGCTTGGGAAGTAATAAAGTGTATTATCTGTATCAAGTAGGTTAACAACTTTAACTGAAGTTAGCAAGGTGCAGAAACAATGAAAATAAGTTTCTCTGACAAATAACATGTTGGCCCATCGTCAAATACCTCGTGTAGAAGTAATTGAGTCCTCATCAGCATCCAAGTGACGCGTGTTAGCATTGTTAACTGCTCATTAGCTTATCTGAAGAGGCAGCCTCCATAACCCATCCAACACAAAAACGGACGTTTTTTATGAACGAACATGTTCCTCTGCATGCTGCTAAATTTATGTGCTGTCACCTAAAAAGGTAAGTCTGCAGCCCTACGTCAATTTCATGAACTCATCAAGATACTTAAATATTTAAATTAGTCGGAATACACATCACTTATCAATATGACATCACTTTGTTTGCACTCATGAGAGCTTCAGTGTTAGGAACCGTCACAAATGTAATGGAGAAAGTAAAAAGTTTTTGTGGAAATAGAAAAATAAAATGTTAAGCAAAAAAAAGACCCTGTCTAACCATGGTTATTTTCCACACGGTTACCCCAATAAGAAGACTCTTTTATCTGCACATGCCTATTTGAACCTGTTCTGTACATCCCTTATTCCTAGGACTAGAATGTTTTTTTCTGATGTACTTAACAGTGCTTTGGAGGCAAGAGGTTAAGGTAACAAGTTTTGTTAGACATTTTTTTCTGTTCCTTAACCTACACTGAAGCACTCAGTGACAAACATTAAGTCGGTTGATTTCAGTCAATCTGTACAGTGTGACATCTGCTGCGAAGTGATCATAATGCTGTCACAGCATACCATCAGTGCTGTCAGAAATGTTTGTTCGCCTCATTGGTTCGCCTCCATGATTCATCTGCTGCATCTGAAAATGTTGCTTCTCAGTTCTCGCTAGCCTTAACTAACATAAACCATTGGCAGTCACCATATGTTCTCCTTATAGGGTCACAGCTGCCTCTGTTATTCATGCATACCGCTACAACATGCATTCAGTAGAGAATTATTACCAGTAGCATCCTTACTAAAGTCACTAGCATCAATGCTGGCAATCTTATAGAATATCATCCATATCATTCACAAGTGCTGTACACAATTCAGTGTGGTGAATTCATTCCAGCTGATCTAGTGCCGCACCGCTACCATGTATAGGACCTAAGCAAAATACACAGCAGTGTATGGAGAGCGCTTCAGGCATGCAATTAGGTGCCTTTCTCTCTCAGGACCCAAAGCCAAGGGCCAGGGAGCCATTAGAAATGCTCTATTGATTGGGCAGCTGTGAGAGCAGTTTGACTCAGTGGGAAGTCGCTAGTGTAGAGCTTAATGGCACTAAGCTTAGTCTATAGCTTGACTCTATAAATGCTGCCACGTCCACATTAAAGGGTAATTGATCTGCTTATTAAAGGTTGGGGGTCGCATGTACTTTCAGCTTTTCTTGCTATTTCTTTTTGAGTCAGGCAGAAGTGAAGGTAAGGATTAAAGTAGAGTTGGCCTGAAGTCATCTGATATCTGAATGGCTTTCTGCTTAAGCTTAGATAAGTCTATTAAAAGCCCTAGAACAAATCCACTGTAAATGAAATTTTGCAGAATCTTTTGAAGATCTGTTAAAGATCATTAATGAACTAGCCCCGGCATTAATGAGCTAGCCCCTAGGCCCTGTTTTGCCTGGATGAACACACACAATCAGAACTATAAGCTGCCACCATGCCACATCTGACATTACATAATTAATGCTACAGTGTATAAACAAAGTCAGCCTTCCAAGCTCCATCTACCTCTGTGCTCATTATTGCCATAAATGTTGTTAATTTCTTTATTTGTCAGTTGACATGTATTCAATTTAATGTCATCTTAGCTCTTCAGGGCTTGTGTTTTGTCATAATCCTCAAAAAATGTCAAGGTGTTTTCGAGGGGATTTTGTAGCCTTCGGGACCTTAAAAGAATAAAAAGAGGGAATGTTAGGTGATATAAAAATCAGAATGGTAAGAAATGGACTAACGGGGATTTCACATAACAGCAAGAATATATCAATCCGATAGGGATCCATCAGCAGATTCATACTGCACTTCCTCACTCTAATAACTACATAGTAGGGCTGTCAAAGGATTAAAATAATTTACCTCAATTAATCATAATCTTTTGTGTAGTAAATTGCAATTGATCACGTTTGCCTTATATCTCAAATTTGACCCTAGAGAGAGATTTTTAATTTAAATGCAGTGCATTTTGTTATAGCAATATGAGTGGACAAGGTTAGCCTCATTAGAATGCATTTATCACTTTCAGTAGTATTGCATTCATGCTGGGTGAAAGCAGGATTTACGTGAACGTGAACATGAAAATCACATGATACTACTGGCATTGCCAGCATGAGCACTGTATTTTGTTTGTAAATGACACTTCAGACTCACTTGAGTGTACTTGATAAACAAATTAATGGCATTGCAGTAGCAGTTAACTAGAAATTAACTTTAGCTTCAAAAGAGCCATCAATGGAACTGCCGTTTACACTCACAGCAGCTTCTGGGTGGATCTGCGGATGGTTTGAAGGGTGAAAATAGGAAAATGCATTAACTGCATTGAAAAATAGGGCCATTAATCGTTATTGTGTTAAGTCAACTTGTTAACTTTGACACCAATACTACATACCTTACATATTTGTTTCATAGTAATTATTGGATAATAAAAGACTAATAACTAAACAGTAAGCCTAGTGTTTAAGGGGTTGCTGTCGTGCTATTTAGTCTGAAATATATAAACTAAGAAAACCCAGTGATTTTCGACATCTTTCCACAGCTTCAGGATGCACTGAAGTGTCAGCAGTGTCACAAGCAGTTCAGGTCCAAAGCTGACCTCAATTACCATGTGATGGCTGAACACACCACCAAGGTAAAATGCATGTGTGTGTGTATGTGTGTATGTGTTTGCTTGTGAATCCCCCTTGGGAAAGACCTGCTCTACCATAGCTTATGGCTAGCGAGTAACCTACAAGTTCTGTATGGTTTAAATTTTGCCTTGAACCATGTAAACTTTGTCCAATCGAACATCTTTCCTCTACTGTCAACAGTTATTTTTTCATAGTTTTCCAGATATTTTCATTATTAGGTAAAACTGTTATAGATTTGAAGAAGACATAGGGCGCTGCAGTTCCTTCTTTTTTCTCTCAGAGAAGGTTATGCTTCACGTTCATAACAAAGACCAGTATAAAATTGCAGGATTGGCTAAATGCAACATGACGGCAACATTTATTTGTATAAAGTTGAAATCTGCTGAAGTTCTTACTGCTTTGCAACCCATTATGCAGCACACAACACAGCTCCCCATTAAAATTAATAGGATGTGGTGAGGCAAAGTTGCAAGTGGACACGTACCATCAGTTAAAACAGGGGTGACCAGTCCTAGTCCTGGTACCACCCTCCAGAGTTTAGCCCCAATCGTAGTCTTAACACACTTGATCTAGGTAATAAAGTGCTTCAGAAGCATCAGCATATTAGAGCCAGGTGTTGGATCTGAAATCTCCAGGTTGGTAGATCTCCAGGACCAAGACTGAGCACCCCTGAACTAAAACATGGAGACAGTGTTAATCAGGAAGCTGCACATTTAATTGCCCCACATTTAATTCAGACATTATAAAATGGTCTGTATCAAATGATCAGCTCCTTTGTCTTCTGCCACCAAGTTTTTCAAGGTAAGCATTCAAGCTCCTGTATTAAATGATTTCAAATTCAGCTCTTGTGTCAGTGTAGCTTCGCCTCACATATGGACTAAAGATGTAAATAGTTGAGGGTTTAACCAGTTTTTGCCCGGTGGAATTGTGCAGAGTAGAGCTCAGGCTCTGTTCCAGTAAGAGTGCGCTGGTGTATAGGGGCCTACAAGGATGCTAATATTACCTCGCCAGCTCTTACATTAGCTCATTGGAGCTCCTAGGAATATCATAAATTATGCATAAGTGTACATCTCTAAAGCACTGTTAAACATTAATGAGCAGGCCTCCCAAAACTCTGTTTTGTTATGTGCATGTGTTTGGGTGTACGTACCTGCATGTGCTTGTTTTGGTATCTGTACAAGTGTATCACTTAAAGGGTGTACTGATCATGATTTTTTTTGGCCAATTTTCATTCCAGTTCCTGACTGATTTTTTGGGCTGATTAGTTTATTAGTTAGCTTTTATTTTAAAGCAGTGGACTACATTGGCAATAACATTTGTTTATGTGCTCTTGGCCAGAAGCTCACACCTTGCCAGCTAAATGAACACACTGATAAGAAAGACACACAGTCTCTTCATTCTTTTTCTTTCAAAACAGCTTTTCTTTTCATTCTTTTCACTTAGTATATCTCTAACATTAAAGGGGAATTCCATATATATTTTTTACAATTTCAGCATAATAATGGGAAGTGGCTCATTGTAGAGAAACTTACCTACTCTTTATTTCTTTACAGTGGTATTTCTTTACAGTGGTAGTGATAGGAATCAGGGGCTACAATGTCTGCAACACAAATAGAGCCATTTTATTTACTCCCCAAAAAAAACAGTGTACATACATGTGTCTTCCGAGTTTTTATATATGTGATGTTGATAATGGTAAAATAGTGGTAAATGTAAAAAAAAAGCTTTCTTTGGGGACTGCCCTGCCTTAAGATGCCTTGCATGTACCTCTCAGCCCTAAAAGGATTTTAAAAAATACTTTTGAGGCCAAAAGCTTTTCAAAACTGTTATAAAACAATGCCTCAGGCATCTGCATAACAACCTTCTGTATAATAACCTTCGTGTGAGAGAGCTTATAGAAGCATTTAGAGGCAAACTTGTTCACCACCACTGTAAACAATTCTGACTGTGCACTCTCAGAAAAAATGTACTGTGGCTGGTAAACTGTCACTGGTGTGATATCTCTCTTGTCACTGGGGTGTTACGCTCAATGGTATGTCTCCAGTACCTTTAGTTAACATATTTGTACCATATTGTAGTTGTACCATAATTCGTTGCAATTATATTTTTAAAGTTGTATTGTCTCCAGCCTTTATAGTATATTGTTCAAAAGACTAGGTTATGAAACAGTAGAAATATGTATCTTTCCACTGGGAAAAAACGTGTTAAAGGTACACAACTGGACCTTAAAACCATGGTTGTACTTTTGAGGGTATTTTTACATGGTTTGTGTCTTGCTGAAAAAAGTACCTGCACAGAACCTTTTTTCTGATAGTTTAGAAGGGAGTATTTCTTATCAAACCACTCTGAATTACTTTATTTACCAATTTATCAACCATTTAATTTCTTTTTTTAATTATGAAAAACTGATGAAATTACTTTTTAAGTATTTTTATTTCTATTAATATTATTTGTGGCAAAGTATAGGTACAACTTACAAGGCTCCCTGAAATACCTATTCACTCACAATGACCATGCAAGCACATGCACATGAGTGTCTTTGAAATTTTCTCACTGTTGTAGTGAAGTTGGAAAGAGCATTTGCTGAGCATTGATATTATGGGTTAAATTGTGCCTAGCAGTAGTTTGTTGTAATGCCTGTATGATTTTGCATTTGTTAGAGCATCATGAGGTTTTGGAGTAAGAGTGATACTTACTGGTAAGATGACCACATTTTGGATTTCGAAAAAGAGAACACTGGGGTCAGGAGTGCAGCACAGGGCAGACTGTAGGTAGCGAATGAAAACACAGCCAAATCATGGACATAGAAGGCAATTTAGAAATCCCAGCCGGAACTGATGTTTAGGTACCCAAAAGAAGACATTTTCTGGAAAAAGTAGGCATACGATTACTCTAAAATCTGTATTGAGTTTTTAAGTGAATATATGCCATATATTTGTGTATCACAAAGACTACACCAATGGCACATATTATACATCATTAAATTGCAGTACAGGCTGGACAAAATAAAAAAAAAAACTTGTTAGAAATAAGTATCAGACAGTTCCAATTCTGACCAATTTTCTGATCCTGACTGATTACCATCCTGGCTGATTCCAATTTTGGCCAAACTCTGGCTAGTATGACTTTCATTATCTAAGAAAGAACAGAAGTCCACAGCGCATGGTGCCCACATGAAGAGAAAGAGAAATTTATATTGAAATTATCCATTTATCTGCTTTTGTCCAATTCTGTTCTCTTTGCTGCTTTTGTCTAAACCTGGGCCCTGCGCTCTGTGATGTGTCGGAAGAATCAGTAGTGCTTTCACATTCCAAGGAAGATAGCCTTCCCTTCAGGTTTTTGTATGACCACATTGTGGCACAGCATTTTTTGTTCCTTTTTCTTTTTCTTTTAGTTTGCTGTATTTTTGTGGTGTCTGATATTGGGTCTAATGATTTGTAGGCACTCACAGGATGACAGTGCTGTGAGCCAGCCTGAGGAAACTCAGATGTAACTCAGCTTTACAGTGCTGAATTCTTAATGTGATGAAGCACACCACTGATGAAGCTGCCTGGAGGGGCTGCTCTCCTGAGGTGTTATCAGGAGTTACCCTTTTTTGTCCCTGTTAAAAATCATATTGCCTTGCTTCATCATTAGAGGTAGTTCCAGCGTCTTTAGTGACAGTCTTCGGTTAATGGGTCAGACTTCGACACTCCAGATCGCAAAGTCTGTGAAGGACTGTATGCATGACTTTTTTGTAGGTCAGTCATATAATCCACACATCACAGACAGAAGGCGAACAAAGCAGAGGATCAAAAAGTACAGCAATCTAAACACACCAGAGAGATCAGATGTTCCCCCTTGCTGATCTGCATATGGGCAGAGGGACGGTCACTGTTTTTGTTGGAGTGCTGATGTCTTCATTTGACTCTATTGTGTTGCGCATGTACAAGTTCAGCAATGAGCTCAACATGCATTTTCACACGTTTGTTTGGGTTCACTGCAGCATTGCCACCCTCATTCTTCACTCTGATCACTGTAATGTCACACTGCCTGGCAGTTAAATGAAGCAATTCATTTAAGTTTTATGCAACACATTTGATGTCTGCACTGGGTAGCTAAATTAGCAGCTCATATTTTTTGATACACCGTATCTTTCTTGCTATATATTCATATTGAATGCGTTATTTACATCTACATTTTTATCATATTTGTCTAGTTTTTCTCCAGCTGTCATTGCATCTGCCTATTATTGCATGTCATCTATTTTTTCTGTCTTTATCTATCTAGGCTTCTTTACTGTGTATTTTTTATCCGTTGTGTTTGTGTCAAACCTGTGAAAATTAATGTTTAAATGGCCATTACAGTTATAGCCTATTTGATGTCTCACTTATCCTGTCCTAGAAGCACATTGTTCATTGAGGACCGTGTTGCAAAAGAAGCAGCAGTTTAAAAAACTGTTACTGTTAGCTGGCTTCATAACACAAGCTGGTTTTGAGAAACTCACATTTGTTGTCACGATTTAGGAAACTAACAAACTGATACACTTGCAACTGATGCAGTGCAACTAAAATTTAGTTTAGTCTCATATACAAACCCAATTTCCAAAAAGTTGGGACAAATTACAAAAATAACAAAAAGCAATGGTTAACAAATTCTGTTTGATCAGTATTAAATGGAAAATGGTGCAAAAACACACTATTTTATGTTTTACCTTATGAACTTCATTGATGTTGTAAATCTACACCAACTTTTTGCTTGCAACATGTTCCAAAAAAGTTGGGACAGGGAGCATGTTTACCACTGTGTTACATCACCTTTCCTTTTAACAACACTTAATAGTCATTTGGAGACTGGAGACATAAACTTATCCAACTGCACAAAGGCCAGTTTAGCACCTGCCCTCTCTGATTGTGTAACCATGCTGTTTTAACACATGCAGAATGTCTTGGCATTGTCATGTTGATATTAGCATTAACATCCCTGAAAAAGATGTCATCTAGAAGGTAGCATATGTTGCTTCGTTAAAAATTACCCACTAATACCTCCCACGCTGTGACAGACCCTTACTTTTGATCATAATGCTAAGATTAATCTGGGTGGTCCTTTTCTTCTTTGACTTGAAAAACAGAACATCCATTATTTCCATAAACAATCTGAAAGGTTGCCTCATCAGAACACAGTACATTTTCATTGTTTCCATTGTTTCCATTTTTCATCAGTTCATTTCAGATGGGCTTGAGCCCAGAGAAGTCGGCAGCGTTTTTTGACGTTTGTGGCATATGGCTTCCACTGTCCATAACAGTCTTAACAGTCTGAACAGTCTTAATTTCCATTTCCAAATGCAGCAATGAATGGTGTTTATTGACAATGGTTTGTCAAAGTATTCCTGAACTGATGTGGTGATATCCATCATAGAAGCGTACCATTTTTTACGCAGTGCTGTCTGTGTAGTCGAAGGTGACAGGCATTCGGTTGTGTTTTTTAGCCTTGCCCTTGAGGCAAGAGAGATTTCTCCGCGTTCCCTTAATCTTTTGATGTTATTATGCACTGTAGAGGGTGGAAAACCTGAAATATATTTGCATTTGCTCACTGAAGAATGTTATTCTTAAACTGCTGGATTTTTTGCTGATACATTTTTTGGCAAAGTAGTAAGCCTCAACCCATCCTTGCTCATAAAGAATTAGGCCTTTCCTGGATGCTCCTTTTATACCCAATCATGACTGCATCACCTGTTGAAGATTTTTGTGAACATTTGAAAATGTTCCTATCTTAAATGTCCCATGTCCCAACGTTTTTAAAACATTGCAGGAATTAGTTTCAGAATGGCCATATTTTCACAAAAGAATGAAGAAAGAAATTAATTTGAAATGGTAAAACATTAAATATCTTGTCTTGTATGTTTTTTTTTTTAAATACAGGTCAAAATACAATCATACATCACTGCTTTTTGTTTTTGCATTTTACGTACTCCCCTACTATTTTTAGAATTGGTTTTGTAGGTCTAAAGCATTGTATTGTTTCACCCTGTAATGCCAGACTTTGCAGTACACGTCAGTTCTATTCTCAACTGAGACTAAAAAAGGTCATAAACCTGCAGCAGTGTGCAGCACTGATTATATTATGATTATATGATTATAGCTAATTACACTACAAGGCTTCCACATATGGAGTGCTAGCATGTCATACAGTCTGCCGAAATAGCTGTTGTTTCCAGGTCTGTCACAATTGTGAGATTTAAGCTGATGATTATTTGCCATAAATAGTCACATTTAATATTTTGGTTTTTTGTTCTTTTTTGTTCATTGCCCCTGTTAAAGTATAAGCCTAAAGTATACAAGTTTGCTGGTTATCTATCTTGCTTCATAGCTGTAAATACCTAGTTGCTCCCAACTGATGACACACACAGCTTGGGCTCAAATCGACAAACATTACTTACTGCTGCCCTCTAAAGGTGTTAGAAGTTAGAACTTTTTTTTTGGTAAGACCCATGAATGCGTTTTCTTCTTTCTTTTATTTACACGCCTCAACTCAGTGGATGAAAACGCACTCATTTCATATTCTGTTTGCTGTAAACACATGATTTTGAGTGCTAATACATGTGTGATAATGGTACGGAGCGTGGGCGAGTCATGAGGGAGAGGATTGCGAATCTAAACCTACATTTTTGAGCCTCAGAAAGATTGAGAATTGGCAACCAAAAATGATAGGTATAAGACTGAAATGTTTTCAAACAAATCAACATGTTTAGACCACTTTTGATTGTTTAATAGTTTCGCACTTGAGTTTGTATCTGCAGGGGCTCCCTTGAAGTCAGGGGCTCTGGGCTTCAGCCCTGTGCAGTGATCCGCCTCTGAGCGAGTTCATGCGTTTTTGTGTGTATACTGTGTTTCATAGAGCAGCCCGGCAACAGCCTGCTTCTGAAAAAGTAACATAGCCAGAAGGTTTCTTTTTGGTTACTGAGGCTATGTTGAGAAGTAGGCAAAGAAAATGAAGCTCACAGTTCTACTACACAATGGAACTCACACAAATTCTGCATTTTTCAGGTACCACTGACTTCTACACTATTCATAGTGCTAGGGCTGCTGTTCTGTTTTTCATTGATTTTTTTTTTCTTCTTAGATGGAAAATATAGGGCTATGTAAACATTGTTTTGACAGTTGTCATAAATATGCTTTGAGTAATGGACTCTGTGTGTAAGCCTGTAAAGTCGTTGGCTGGCTTGTGGGCCTGTGCACATTTTGGCTGCAGGCAGTATATTGTTTAGAGCTTGTTTTGGAGTATCTCTGTAATGTGTTACGCTGAATTTGTTCCCCCTCTAGCAGCCCTCTGGGAGTGAGAATGAGGGAGGGGAGGAGCAGAAGGAGAGAGAGAAGCTCTGCCGAGTTCTCAAACAGATGGGCAGAATCAAGTGTCCCAGTGAGGTATGGGACACACGCACACAGACACACAATCACACACACACACACACTCTCTGTCTCTTTCTTTCACTCACTCTCTTACTCTCTCTCTTACTCCAACACAGTCACGATCACGCCCCCATTCTCCATCGTGTCCTTATTGCACCCTTCCTGCCTGTTTTCCTTCTCTCTTCTTGTTGCTCTCTCTCTATGTCTGTCTCTCTCTCTCTTTCTCTCTGTCTCTCTGTCTTGTCGCACTGCCCGTGTACACATCATCGTTCTGTTTCCAATTACTCTCTGCAGTGAGAGATGAGGTAGAGCTTGTGGCTTTTTCCATTTTGCAGTCACTCTTCTTTTCTTCTGAATTCCTAAACACACACTCTCTCACACACAAACACACAGATAACCACACACACAAACACACACACACACACCTTGCTTTCCAGTGCCTGCTACTTTTCTTCTCATTTTTCTAAGTAGTAATAAACTGAATGTCCAGAATGCATCATAATTCAAAAGTGGAGATCAAATCTCAAGGCAGATAACTTGACAAAAGAAATAGTGTAAACAGATAAGCAAAGTGTATACCTTTTTTAAGCAAGAAAACAAATGAGACAAATATAAATCACACATCATTCATGTTCAATCACTACTCTGATTAAACAAAATGGTGATAAGCACTTATCAAATCGAGTTGCACTCTAAATGAGCTTGGGCATTTGCTTGGAAAAAAATCACAGTACTTCTAACAATAAACAAAGCCTCACACATCTTTAATACATTGATAGAAACACTGTAATACACAGAAGGTTACTATTCTATACATTTAACTATGCACAGCATGGACTTGCACACACTATAACGCCTCTGGTGGTAAGTTTAAATGAGCCAAATTCTCAGACAGGATCGTTGTCTAGACACTCAAGGTGATGCATTTTACCCTCTGCACATAGACCGCGGATAAACAAAGTGTGTAACAGACATTCAGGTAACATTTTTTATTTTGTGTGCTGTAGATATGCAGTGAATCATTCAGTAAATATTTCAGCTTATTACTGAATGCCTTTTAGCTCATTGGCTGTCTGCTGAACTGCTTAGGTTAAGTTTGAGATGCTTTCGTGCCTTTTACTACATACACATGAGGTGTTTGACTGCAAACATAAGTGTATTCATGAGACTGAGCAATTTTTACTTCTCTAAGCTGGGTGGAACGTGAATTTTAAAAAACTGATCTGTCTGCTCCTCTTTCTGTTGTACTGTGGCTGTAGTGATTCTTTACAGCTCCGCTCAGGGAAGGGACTGTATCATGTGATCAGAGCTTGTGAAAGTTGTACTGCTCTGCATGCCTAAGAACCCTCAGGTGCAACTGCAGCTTATTTGACTAAATTGCAGTGATGGTATTTCAAAGTGCCCACAATGACATTACCATGCACATTAAAAATTGCAGTATACTGACTTAGCGAAACTTCAACAGAAATTGTGTGGAAACTGCAAAAAGTTATATCAATTTAGTTTTATGCAGTCACTTTAAAGATAGAAGACTATTGAATGCGTAATAATAATAATACTAGTTCAGATCTAAAAGCTCTCCTTCTCTCTCTTTTTCTATGCATACTCTCCTGCAGGGCTGCTCAGCTCACTTCTCCAGTCTGATGGGCTATCAGTACCATCAGAAGCGCTGTGGTAGAGAGCTGTCAGATACTCAAAAGCCTGTGTTCCTGTGCCAGCACTGTGGAAAAACGTACCGCTCCAAAGCCGGCCGAGACTACCACGTGCGCTCCGAACACGCCGTCACCACCACACCCACACGCCCGGTGAGACAACACACTCAGCCTTCATCCTGCTGCTTAGAGCTGTTACACTTTCTAATTGATTTAGGCTTTGTTAATCCATTATTGTCCAATATCTGTCTGTTAAGGTCCGATATGATTTGATTAAGAGGCACAGCATGTATTCCACTGTTTTACTCTTTGCCCTAAACTCTTCTTTTGTTTGGTAAAAGTAACAAAAAGATGCAGTTGAAGTGTGAGGTATGTTCCCATGCAGGGGCATGAGAAGGTGTTTTAAGTTGGGGGTACTGAAATTTCAAGCAGCATGCATGTGACAGAATGGTGGTGACATCATAAAAATTATTTGCTTTTTTTTCATTCTTTTTTTTTAGAGTGTACTTCAAACAGAATGTGTCATGATGTGCTATAATGTTAGGAAAAGTGCCAAATCTACACTAAAAGAAGCACTTATAGGTCTTTATGTTTTAATTATTTTAAAGTACAGATTTTTTTTTACTTTTGCACTTGTAGTTCAATAATTCTGAAATCTGCACCCTCAGCACCCCACTTCCTGCATCCCTGGTCCCATATGATTTCTCATAGTGGTAGTTTGTACAAAAACTGTAGAAGTTTAGGCTATCTAGGCAGATTTTGTTCCTATATAAATAAGTGTAAATAACAATAACGTGGGCTTAGAAGAGTAGAAGAGTTTAAAAGTAGTAAAATACATAGCTTTATTTTCAGGTTTCAGATGTGTTTCTTGACTTCCCCAACCTTCTGCCTCTTGTGGAAATACATTTATTCTTTGTAAGCAAGAATCAGCACGTACAAATCAGTAGACATGTAATCACTGAGAGTTAATGGACAGCTCTAACCGCAAACTGCTTTTTTTCTTGGCTCTTTCCAGGTTTCCGCCCCCGAGGAGGTGAAGTCGGCCTTTAGGAAAGATAAAGAGCAGCCTCCAGCAGAGAAAACAAAAATAGAGACCATCCAAAAGAAGAGCCTGGCGAAAGCAAAGGAAAGAATAGAGGAGAAGAGGGAAGAGAAAAAGGAGGAGAGGAGGGAAGAGAAGAAAGAAGTCAGGGCAGAGGCGGAAGAGCTGCTGGACTTGGAGCGCACTCCCAGCGGCAGAGTGAGGAGACGCTCGGCTCAGGTGGCCGTCTTCCACCTGCAGGAGATTGCAGAGGATGAGCTGGCCAAAGACTGGGGCACCAAACGCCGCATCAAAGACGACCTCGTACCCGATATCAAGAGGGTGAGGAAAAGGAGCTCCTATTTACACCTATGCACATACACTCACACTTCCAGAAAACCACAGTCACTGTCATGTATACACAGGAAATATAGTGTGTTTTATACTTTTGGCAACTTTGATAAGATTGGTCCTCCTAAAGATTTGTAAGACTTTGGACCTTATGCCAAAAGAGTATGGTCCTTTGAGAGCAACTGATGAATCAGTTCCAGCTGAGTGGAAATAAGGACCTGCCCATTACTCCCTGATTAATATATCATTTCCAAGTGACATGCCCCAGTTTATTCTCAAATACATATTCAGGCAAGTGTAAGCAAATTGAACGAGAGCATTCAACAAGCGCATGAACCATTGGTTGTCCTACATGAAAAAATCCACCTGGTCATACTCCTTCTTGTGAAAGCACAGCATTAAATTTATCTAGGACTTCTGCCATGATTATGGGCATTCATCTGTTTATACCTGGTACTCGACTGAAGGACTAATAAGCTAATAAATTGTAATTCAAGTCTGCAATTTCCAGTATTGCAAATATACAAATTACAAGCTAAAAACTTGTATTCAAATACAATATTCAGAATGAGTTACCTACCATTTTAATATGTGGATACAAGGATTGGCCTTTGCACAAATATTATTAACATTATTATTTTCCAAATTTATTTATATTAACTGTGTTATTTATAATATTTATTATAATTTAAATTAATTAGTGGCAAACGTATTTTAGGGTTAATTTAAGAAGTGCTCAAATTTACACTCACACTAGTCAGAAGTATGTTTTATTGTACAGGTAATACCTGGCAAATATATACACCAAAGATAAAAACAATGCATTACGAACCTGTAATTCCACCCATAAGACAACGCTAGTAAGCTAGGTGGGTGAGGGCAGGCACATGCTTCCTCTGAGACACGTGAAATGCCACTGTATCTTTTTTGAACTGCCGCTAATGTGACAGCTCAACTCGCTTGGAGAAGAAAATGCTAACTACCAACTCTGATGCATCAGCTAACAGACACCCACATTGGCAAGCATCACGCTGATATGGGGAAAGGGAGGGCCATCCTACCCTTCCAGAGAGAGGGAATCCAGTTATGCTTTTGTGGACCTCCTTACAGAGAATATGACATCTCTGGGGATCAAACTTGCAGACTGACACTTAGACGGAATACACGCTTATCTTATGATCTGATTTACCACACAGAACTCAAGGACCAGTGTGTTTTAGGCTTTTCTTTGAACTATTTATTGTATTTCTCCACTGAAAGATGTTTATGACTGCCTTCTCTTTCTGTATTTTAGCTAAACTATACACGTCCAGGCCTTCCTAACTTCAGCCCCGAAACTCTAGAGACCTGGAAAAATGAAGTAAAAGAGAAAGGCTTCATCTGTTGTCCCAATAGTGTAAGTCCTGGCTCTTTATTTATTTCACAGACATATACTCTTGCACTTTTAAATGCCTCACATGAAACAGTCTACTGCTGAAAAAAAGCAACATGTTTAAGTATTTATAGGACCCCTGATTCACTGAGTTGTTGAAAAACATGAGGTGCTTAAAAAATCTCAACTCTGCAAGTTCTTTGTTGCTGTGGTCCCCTGTGAGATAACTGTCCATCTCGTCTTATCCCCTGTGACAGAGCTGTGAGGCTGTTTACTCAAGTGTGTCAGGACTAAAAGCTCACCTCGCAAACTGCAACAAGGTACAGTACTGGTGCTCTTTATGATGTGTTCCAGCTCAGTCTTTTATGACATACAGTAGTTCATGAATTATATATTCATAATTCTGAGGCAAACGGTACTATTAATACCAGAAGCTGTAACTGAACATGTTTGCTTACATTAGGAGCCAATAAAAAAGCTAATTTGGTTAGATTGTTAGATTTGTTAGATTGCTTTCTTTTCTTATCAGAATTGGTGCACCAACTGATGACTTAAAGAAACTTATTTTAACAACTTAAACTGCAGGGCCCACACTTAAATTATTCACTCACACATAACGCAGTACATACTAGTTACTTAAGTAGTTACTTAAAAATTACAAAAAAAAAATATTAAGTAACTACATCAAAAGCTTACATTTTAAGGCAATACAACTCTAAGTTAAAAAAGAGGAATTACTTTTGTTTAGCTTTTATTGCTGTACCTCTCTTACTGCTGTAATTCTGCTCCATACAGGGAGGGGGTGATGTGGGAAAGTATACATGCTTGCTATGCCAGAAGGAATTCAGCTCTGAGAGTGGAGTGAAATACCACATCAGCAAGACACACTCTCAGGTGAGCTGAAAGCAGGCACACACTCATTATACATTGTCAGTACATGTCCCATATGCATTATATATACACTCCTGTGCTAAAAATTTTTTTTATTAAACCCTATACATAATATCTGGTCTCACATTGAACACAAACTAGCTTGGCAGTGTGTTTCAACTGTTTGAAGCCATCTGTGCTGAACAATATTGACTCTTTCTGTAAATGGCTGTCTGCAAGTTTACTGACCCATACTAAGTTACTTATCAATTTGTTAATAACTTGTTGTTGAAATCTTTAAAAGGTTAATGCTTTGCCATTTTGAGCTCATTCGTTTGCATATATATATATATATATATATATATATATATATATATATATATATGTGTACGCACACACAAAGTTCTTTCAAAAACTCACATTTTTCAGTACTGCTTTTCAGTTTAAGATTTTTTTAATTTGAGTAATTTGGATGTATCTTGTACTGTAAGTAAACCATATTTTGTAGACCTGACTTACAGTACATGATACTGTACTAGAACATTAAGTTGAGAAAATTAAAAATAAAGATTTGCAGAAGGTTGACTTAAAATTTCAAGTTGACCCAGCTTTTTTTATAGCACAGCCTGAGTAAAACGTGGTCCAGGGCAATATTGGTTGGACCTTCTAAGACATGTAATCATGCTTTATGTAGGATTATGACATCATGAATTACAAACATAAAGCAACAAAAAACATACAAGATTTTTTTTTTGGGAAGAAGAGGCGCCCCTCATGATCAACATTTTGTCAGAAATTGGCATCATTAGTTATTTATATAGATGAAAATAGGAAGACTGATGTTTTAAAACATTGGGAAACCAAATGTGAATAAGCTTCACAGCAAGAAGGGCCTGGGTTTTGATTCTTTCTGTGTGTAGTTTGCATCTTCTCCCCATGTCTGCGTGGGTTTCCTCCCACAGTCCAAAGACATGCAGTCAGGCCAATTAGACACACTAAACTAGGTGTGAGCGTGTGTGTGGATGTGTATGTCTGTATATCTGTCTGTCTGCCCGGTGATGGACTGGCGACCTGTCCAGGATGTTTCCTGCCTCCCCCCCCAGTGAGCGCTGGGATAGGCTCCAGCTCCCCCCATGACCCAGAAGGATAAGTGGCTTAGATAATGTGTGTGTGTCATAAAGTGGGTTTTTAATATTGTGAGGTTCGACTATGCTGACATGCATAAATAAATGGAACTATGAAAGGATTAGTATTTTAAATGTTAAACATAGTAAACGTAGATTAGCCTTTTCTCATTTTTGACAGTGAATAAACGCACACACTCTTGACATTACCTCGTTGTTGGTCTAGTGTGAATATAGGTTGACTGCTCTCACTTCCTCTTTGACTTTGACTCATAGAATTGGTTTCGAGCATCTGGCCATGTGGTGCCTAACAGCAAGATCAAAGAGCCACAGAGCAATGGGCTGCAGAAAGACATGAAAAACGGAGTGCCCGGGAAGAAGAGGGGTCGAAAACCCAAAGAGCGCCCCCCCGAGACCACCTCCATCCCAGCAAAGACTTCGAGCCCTTCCGGAAATGCCCCTGCTCCAGCTCCCACCCATCTTCAATGCCCAAATCCAAACACAACCCCAACTGCTACTCAGCCCCCGGCACCTGCCACCTCCAACAGCACCCCAGCCCCAACAGCCACGCTTGTGGACAGTGGAAGTCTAGCCCAAACCAGGGACTTGCAGCCCCCCGTGAAGAAGAGGGGCAAACCTAAGAAAGTGCAACTATCCGAGTAACATGGCTTTCACAACTTCAACACCAGACAGGATGCTGTTAGTCATACGCCAGTAAATTAATGAAGCTAGGCTGAATCTCCGCCACACAGGTGAAGGATTACACAGAAGGTAGAGGTGATAGAGAATAACAGAAGGAGGAGGAGAGCAAGAGAAAACGACAACATTTAGCTCTTGTATTAGTTTCACACTGATCTGTTTTTTAATCCGATATATACATATACAGTATATGTGTCTACTGGTATATGCCAATATATAATAGTCCTTTTTCATTCCATTTTTAGAGTTCATTTCAGTTATTAAGCTGTTCAGACAAATGGGGTTAATTCTAATCAATGCCGAGATCCCACTTTATATATATATTCTGTATGTAAACAGAAATGTTTTTAGAGCAAAGAACTCATTTCAGATGGAAACATTTCGATATGTCCAGTAGTTTCATGTTGTGTTTTGAAAGGTTTTTTATTATTATTTGAGAAAAAAGGATATCCAAGTTATTCAGTTAGCATGGTGCGCTAATTTACGACTGGTGTTTTATCACGGATATACTTTGTTGTGTATATATACAATATCTATATCTATATATGAATACTGTATATACAGAGGAATTCAATTTTTGTCCATTGTTTTCCAGCAAAGTCAGTCAGAAATATTCCATTTTCTTTGATGGTCATCGTTTCATTTGCTTTCTCCTCTGGTGTATTGGGGATTATTAAAGGCAGCTGAATGGTGGGGCAGAGTTAGATAGCCGTTGGAACAGTCTGCTTTCAGTGCAATAGTGTCGCTTTTGTGGTTCGTGTCTAGTCTCTTGCTCGGAATCATAAGAGGTTGAAGCTTGCATCCCTGTGTAAAACTCCCTCCCTGTTTCAAGTAGTTGTAGTATACAACAGTTGGTCTTAGGTCATTGTTAACACCCTCAGCTGCTTCGAAAATAGGTTTTAATACTTTGTGCTCTCATTTTTTTAACAGCTAACATCTAAAAAATGACAGTGACCGTGGAGTTAGAGGAGGCATTGGAGTTCGACTGAAATATATAATTCAGACATAAACAGTAATAGAAGTTCAAAAAGAGAGCACAGCTTTGAGGTTTACCCTGCATTGGTTAGAACCCAAACTGCAGGAAAAGATAAAGCTTCTTTGATATAGGAAAATCCACTTTGACGTCTATGATGTCATTTGTGTGTACTTAAGCTAAAAACAGATCGAAGATTACATACACTTACTCTGAACGCTCAAATTTTTTATCTGTAGCTCTAAATGAACATCTAAACACCCAAATTCCTGAATTCAGGTTCTTTCTTAGACAAGAGAACTCATATAAATCAGCTGCATATATATATATATATATATATATATATATATAAAGCTAAATAAATATTTTATCCTTCTCGAAATGTACGCTTGAAAAGCGCATTCTATATGACCGTGAGTTGGTTTGTCTTGGGCTGTTGATAGAGTCTCTGGCATTTCTTTAAGTCATTTTGAGGCATGCAGCAGTTAAAGCAATGCATATAGACTGTACATGAAGACCTCAGTGATGGTATGCAATACTGAGAGTGTTTTACCTGGCTGATAGAGATGAAAGGTGAAGCACTGAACAGCACAATCAGGATGATTACTACAGGAATTCAATGATAAGTTACAATAGAGGCTTAAAATGAGAAAGATTTGGAAAAGGATGAATTACAGCTCTGTTTCATGAACTGTTGTTTGGATATCTGTCAGTGATCCTGTACATAACTATACCTGATACTCTGATTAAGGTCTGTTGAGGGAAAAAAAAAAAAGAAAAAACGCTCGTCTTGCACTTTAACCCCTCTTCCCCTCCCTCCCTCTTATCTTGCACTTTGCAGGCACTGTTAGGCTTCCACCCCTCATTCCCCCAACCAGGTTAGACAGTGTCTTTGAAGCTCATCTGGGACTGAATTGGAATCTTAAAGGGCCCATATCATATAGAACTGAATTTGTGAAATAAAAGAGTTTAACGTACGGTGTAATCATTGTTAAAGTTTCAAAACTTACCATCCACTCACCCGTTTGTATACAGTTTATATGTGGAAGCAAAACTGCAAAAACAGCCTGTTTGTAATTCACCGAGGTTGTGGTGTCACAACCACAAACATATTTTCAAATGGTCACCAATTTAGCCGACAGCAGTTTAGCCCACCCTTTCACATTGATTGTCCTACTGCATATATTAGCCCAATGTTTTTTTTTAAGGCACAATACAGGATGGCCAGTTAAAAAACAGGTCATTTACATATATTACTCTTAAAAGCACAGAAACAGAAATAGCTTGTCCAATTCTAAGGGATAATGAAAGGTTGGAAAATGGTCACAACTCTTGGTAACTGAAGACATACACACAATGATATCAGAATAATATAGACATCAGCAGATAATTGCTTAAAAAGAAATGAATCGGCATTGGATAAATGTTTAGATGTGACTGATATTTCCAACAATGTCATTTGACAGAAGAGCAGAATGTTTAAGTGGTGCTGGGCTATTTTGCTAAAATATCAGTTTTTTATTAATTTTACTGCATTTTTAATATGTATTTTATGATTTTTTTGTGTATCAGCATTACAGATACATACATGAAAAATATCAGATATCAGCATCGGCCTGCAGTTCCCACATCAGTGCAAAATTCAGTAGGAAAAATAAAATATAAACCATTTATAGATTATAGGCCCTTTAAGCATTTCAAAAGCCAGTCTCACATCTGCACAAATAGGCATTTTCAGCCAACTTCCACCATGTGGGAGAAATAGTCCTAGGTGCAAGGACTGCTAGTCCTCCATGTCCCAGTGTATGAAACATGTCAAAAGTGAAACGAAATGAAATATTAAGCCATAAGTGTCCCTGTGAAGGTGACTAATGGAAGCAGTGTGTCTTCCTCAGTTTGTACACGGTGTTGAAAATTGAAAGGAATATCAAATGTTTCTCTTTCTTTTGTTTCAACAGATGACTATTTATTCCAAGACCCTGATTATTCTAACTGAGGTACTTGAAACCATGAACAAATTGCCATAAGAATTATTATCTGACCATAGGTCGCCAATAGAGAAAAATGCTAAATTATGAAATGTATATTTATATCTATTGAGCAAAATGTAATAAGCTCACTCAAAGTGGCACACCGAGTTTATTTTATACTTTTCTTGTAAATACGATCATAATAGCAATCTCATAACGCTTTGAGTAACCTAGGGTTGAAACGTCAAGGTCAGGCAAAAAGGTGCTAGTAGCCGTTCTACCTTAAGGACTATCGAGTGTGACGTAAACCGGTCAGTCTGCTTTGCCATCTAGCCCTACTTTGTGGACATGAAATACCAAGTTTTATTTCAGAGCCAGACGGATTGTTCCGTAGCATCTGTACCACACTGTGGTTCTGTACAGCATTAATAGAACAACTTAAACACTTGTTTGGCTCCAGCTAAATGTCATAGCAAGAACCTTGTGAAGAAAGGACCATGCGACATACGTCATATATGCATGTAATGCCACCTGGTCAGAGAGTTCTGTTTTGTAACATTACTGCATACATCTTTGGCTACAAATTGGCAGCCATTAGACACGTGCTGTCTTTTTTTTTCTCCACAGCCAACATAATCTAGATGGAGCAGCACACCTTACATTTTGAAATCGTGTCTTGTCGAATGTATCTTTTGCAATGTCACAAAATACTGTTTCTTTGCTCTTTCATACTGAATGATATAAAGGCTGCCGTGTGTTGGTTTTTTGTAGGGATATCGTTATGTCTTGAGTTCAACAATCTGTCTTCCTAGATTATGTGGTGTACACATATGCAGCGGTTTTGGGCTTATATTGCAACAGATTTTCATTTGAATTGACAGCAATACAACATAACCCCTATATGTATCAGCTTTGCAGTTGAAGGCACTGTTTAGAATATAATTTCCAAAGCTCAGCGCAAAATTGTATCCATTTTCTCTTGCTTGTTTGCTTCTTTCCTCACACCCACCATTGCTTCAAACCAGTTGAATTATAGTCACGCTTTTCTATACGGTTTAAAATACATGTTGAAAATTTTGTCTTTTGTTAAAGCAAAAAGGGGTGTGTGCGTCTAAGTGTGTGTGCGTGTGTGTGCGCGCATGAGAGTGTGTGTTTTCTGTATTTAGTGCACTTGCTATCCCATGAAATAGGCTTGAATTTGAAGTGTTGGAGTGGTAATAGAGATTTTGGTGATTCTTGGCTGTGCAGTGTGACTTTTGTACCTGAAGGGGGTCTGTAGGTGCCCCTAGCCAGTTTTTAAAGTAGGTTTTCTTTTCATTACTTCTCGTTTCATATGGAATAAAGACTTCAGAACTAAACATTCGACCTACACACAAAGCCCTTTGATTATAAAGATTGTCGAGAAGTTTACAAGTGGGTGTAATAATGTGAGATTGGAAATGAAGATTAAGGTACTTAAGGGTAGTCCAGTTGAGGAGAAAAAAAGAGATGTTTTATTAAAAAGATTACAAAGTCTATTAACAAGTATCTAAAGATGGGAGTAACAGACGAGATGTCTTATTTCTTCATTGAAGTTTTTACCTAGGTTATCAGCAGTTCTAAATCTAAACCGTTATTATCATTCTTTTACAAAATTGTATTAACTGTGCATTAGTACCCCTCTAAATGATTAATAAAATGTTGTTGACTAAAGACTGCCTGATTTTATTATGTAAAGTACATGCACTGATGTGTACTGGGTGATTCTTTTTAAGATAAAGTAAATGTGGAAACTTTGCGCACCTACTCTTACCATAAATGAGTGTTTAATAGGCTAAAGACGACCCAAAGTTGATGAAAAGAAACCTGGGACTTGACGTATGAAGTATGAAGAATGCTATAGGCATACGTTCTGGACACCCTTATAGGGGGATTTCCACCAGTTTTTCAGAATTTCTGCATAATGCAGTTATGATGTAAGCAGAGTCATTCTGAGTGGTTTGATGTGAAATTTAGAGAAACTTGCAGACTTGGATTTCTTTACATTGGTAGTGAAAGAAACCAGAGGTTGTGATGTCTACAACACAAATACGGCCATTTTATTTACTATGCAAAATGACCAGTGAACCTACATTTGGGGCAGTCGTGGGCTGGAGGTTAGGGAACCAGCCTTATGACTGGAAGTTGGCCAGTTCGATACCCTGAGCTGACAGGGCATGACTGAAGTATACTTAAGCAAGACACCTAACCTCCAACTGCTCCCCGGGTGCTGTAGATAGGGCTGCCCACCGCTCTGCCTACGGCAATAAAATAAAAACATGTGAAACTACATATTCAGCAACATTTCATGTAATTGCTTTCTGTGAAGTGAGAGGCATTAAACATGCCAGTGACTTTGTTTACATCTTATTGAATGAACTATACTAAAAATCTGTGGAATTCCTCTTTAAAGCCACAAAACAGTATAATGTCCCAGTATCATGAGAATAGGTTTTAAGAAAAAACAAATTCTTAAGAGTCAAAGAAAACATATTTTGATGGCCATACGAAATGGCTCACCACCTCAATAACTACATTAACAACACTTTTAAATCCAAAACGTTTTTGTCATGATTTCTCAGAATTGTAGTAACAGTGCATTAACATCCCTCAAATGTTAATTTAAGACTTATTTTTGTATGTAAAATGTATTCCGTGAAGTCGGCAGAGCGACAGTTTAGGTTATATTTTACTGTACACCCACTTTTCATTTCACCATATATGAGTTTGAGCGTTGTTGGGCTAAGATCACCAAGTTGATGAAAAAGAAACCTGGGACTTGAAGTACACCAGGCTCGTTACCCTGCACGCCTGTAACGCAAGAAAACTACATATCCCACAAAGCCCGCGAAGAGGATGACGTAGAAACAGCTGACTGTCAAATCGAAAACCCACTATGTCTGCCGTGTGTGGTGAAGGAAGGGTGTCAGCGATGGAGAGTGGAGATAAATCCTCAACGAGGTCCGCAAGGTACATTTCATTATTCATAGAACCGAAAACTAACGTGTTAGACCACATATCGATATTAAGTGTGTTTGGCCCGTTTTAGTTACTGAAGCTTTGCCCACGCACGCAGCTCTGAACTGTCGCGTGGTGCCGCGGCACGTTCGCATCAGTCGTTGTTCTCTGAGGATGTTTAGTGAAATAAGTGACACTGAACTGAACAGGTAAATCCTCTGAACTCGGACACGTGTTACGTCTTCCCGGCATGTTCCTCAGAGAAGTTTCACTGTTTTGGGGAAATAGCTACTTAGTTTTCAGGACAGACTCTAAATGCGCTGTTGAGTGCTGAGTGAGTTAAAATAGCTCATCTCGTTCAGGGTTTCTTTATGCTGGCTAGTTAGTTAACATGCTTTCCGCTGGGTCACCGTCGGCGAGTGAATTTATTTAAACTTCTTAAAGTGGTTCGCTTAGACTCAAATTCTGATGAAAATGTTAAAATTTCTATATCTTCAAAACTGCTTATTATTGCATATTATTATATTTATTTAGACTAGTAGCTTCATCCTTTGTGTTGACAGTATCTCTTGAACTGTTTAGCTTATCTGCTGTCACCGTCTGTGAGGGGCTTTGAATTGTAACAGATAACGTATTTTAAGTATCACTCTCATGACGTCTGTACATTCGCCCACCGTTAACAAGACTGTGCTATGTTGAAGTGAAGGGATCCACAAGTTTAAAAAAAAAGAAGGAAAGAAACTTTAGTTTCTAATTTCTTTACACATACGTAGACGCTTAGATAATGAATAAAGAAGAAGTATTTGGCTCATACTATATAAATTACGCAAGACCTTTGTTTATAGATTCATGGCAGAAACCACACCTCGTGTTTACAGGGTGAAGCATGCTTCCTTTAGTGAACATTAAATGTCCCACACCACCACAAGAGGGTGTAATAACCTAACTACATTTAAGCGGAGCGCTGCTGTTGTCGTGTAATTAAAGTCATTGGCCTGTTATTACAGGCCTTATTGCAATATTTTAAACGCTGTTCGGCACTTTCCGGTTATAAAAACCAACCAGCTGTCAAGTGTTGTGCTCGTGTTTAGAAAATACTGCATTACGAAGTTGATTTAAAAAGTGTACAGGACAGATTATGCCTTTAGACACAGTGTGCCACCCACTCGTTGTGTAGTTTAATCCTGTGTAAATTGTCCAGCTGAACCCTGAAACCCTTAACAGATTGGAATAGATTGGAAAATATCAACCATAACTCTTTCTAGCATGTTTCTCATTTAAATAGCACATTTGTGTGGGTGTGTGTGTGTTAACCTTGGGCCGATAATTGATATTGAATACTGCTGTAATTTGTGCTCATATTATGAAAATATTTTTCTTCCGTTTATTGCTTCAGCTTTATTTTATTTATTCATTGTCCTTGTTCAATCATTTTAATCTTCGGCTTGTTAAACAGAACATCACCTTGTGTACTACTTTCTACATTATAATGTCGATTTTCAGTCTGGGAAAGAATGCTGGGATACATGCAAATTACAAAACAAAAATTCTCATAAATGAGAGCTACTCTCTATTAGAGAGTAAAATGTACGAGCTTGTCCAGAAAAATAATGCCAGTTTGTTGATTTTGTTAGTAGGTTGATTTGACAGAGCCTCTCCTCCACTGCCGACCATGCCCAGTTAGTATAATGAATTGGATGATGTATCCTAAGATGGATTTGCAAACTGATGGTAGTATAATCTGTTTTTGTAGCACTGTTAACTTCCAGTTGTTCTCCATGTTCATTTGTTTGGAAACCAGATTATTACAGAACATGGTAAATCATTCAATAATATTGTAATCTAGCTCAGATTGTAATTATATGGTGGTTATATTACTGTCAGGAAAGACGTAAGCCAAGGCTCTGTAATGCTCACAGCTGGTGCTTCGTAACTGATTTTGGATCACGATTCTTTGTTGCAGTAATTCTGCAGACATAAATTCACATTACTGTCCAAGCTCAGTGTGTGTATACAGTACTGTGCAAAAGTCAGCGACAACTCTTCATTTATTTAATTTCCAGTCATAATGATCATTAAATACAAGTTATTCTTTATTAGCATCAGGAAATAAAGCAGCAAACACAGAAAATGACACAGAAGCCTCTGCAACTAAACATCATTTCACTTTCATTTCACAACAGCATTGTTACAGCACGTCTTCCATTAACTGTCTTAAATTTACATAAACCGGTTTCCATGAGCAGCAACCTTAGTTACCTGATCAACCTGTTTAGCCTGACCACATTTTAACATCCTCCATACATTTCTCACGTGAGAGCTCTGAATCATCAAAAAGTTTTCCTTTGGTTTGGCCGCGGTACCGTAATCACATGCTTAGACCAAATATCCGCCAGCTTAATAAAGTGTTTAATCATAGTAGATTTAAATTTGTGTTTGCCTAAGCTTGATGATAAAGTGAGACACACAACAGGTCTTTTAATGTGCAGTCTATATTGGAGTTACTTTTGCATGTGTGTTTTTCAAGCATCTTTTATGCAAACTGTAATGAATGAGTATTTACATAGTTATAACAGTGTGTCTGTGGAGTCTCTGTTGGATGGGTGGGAACTAGGCCTGGACGAGATCTAAAAATAATTTTCATGATATTTTATCATTTAAAAATTGTGATAATCAATATTATCGCTTCTACCCCTTGGCCCACCCAAGCAAATACTGTAGCTTTGACCTACACTAACTGTTTTAATGAAAATCTTATAAAATATTGAGTAACTTAGCGTCTTTTGAAAAATACTTAATCTGTCGTTGTACTGAATGTTACTGCAAACACGTGCATTCGTGAGCTTCTTCTGGTGCAGGTTTATGGCAACTTGCGTGCTAACAGCGCTCCCTGCTGGATAAACTTTGGCCTGCAAGCAATTTTCAAAGCCATGGCCACGTGCTTTTCACATTAAAAAACAAGGTGTTTTCCGTCATCATTTTCATAATTCAACCAGAGAACTTGTAGAGAGGAGAAGTACCACTCTGTATTGTCTTCCAGGTTTCACGCTCCCAAGCATGTCCAAAATGAATGGGTTAAGATGGAGCATTTGAGCAAATTCATGGTTTATAAAGGCTTAAACATGTTTATTGTGAAAGGATACATTCATTTCCTGCACACTGAATAGTATAAAACATTTTAACACTGCTCTTATATTTTTAAAAGCTTTTAAACTCAAGTTATAGGAGTTTAAAATGGTGCCTCATGTACGTCCCTGATGTCTGTGAGCGCGAACAGCCAATGAGCTGCTTCACTCGCCAAACAATCAGCACTCAGTAGCAGTAATGCTAGCGTCCTGCTGCCCAAAACACGCTGTAGAAAGAAGGAAACATACAGGTGAGTTTTCTTTGCTTTTTCAGTGAAATACGTCCTTCTACTTTTTAAAAGTAAAGGAAAGTTCTGGGCAAGTGATTAGAAACTATTTTAACTTTTCGTTCATAACCGTTTAGCTCCATTTATCCCCATTCATTGAGGACTCGCGGGTGCCCTCTGCTGTTTACAGTCCTGTTTTTGATATAACGGGGGAAATAGGAATTGGCCAGGCTCATCATAAACCGGCTCTGATTCAACTAACCACCAGGACACTTAATCTGTACAGAAAATACTGCAAATTTTACTTAGTAAATCACAAGCCACAAAGCCAGTGGGGAGTTTACTTAAACGTAGCTTTTTAAAAGCCTCATTATAACTCAGTGTTTTAATTGTAAAAGTGAATAAAACATTATTTCTACATATTATTCAATATTATTTATTAAATTTTTTGAGAACACCAAATTGGGATCAGTAGAACTTTTTCTCAAGGTTATATTTTTCTCAAAGGTAATATTCAGTCACTTTAGCCTAACTGCAGTGAGTCACTTTGAAGCCAACTGAAGTTACTAAGCACATTAGCATTTATTGTCAATTCCATTCACTCAAGCTACACTTAGCATAATGTAAAATAAGTAGAAGGGGAAGCCTTGCAGCAGCTAGCATTACAGCCCACAGCAGAGAAAGCTTCTGGACAAATCTTTCTCTCTCTCTCTCTCTCTCTTTCTCTCTCTCTCTCAAACAGTTAAAAAAAGGAACAGCCACACACTTCTTAAACGGGAACCCCAACATATTTACAAGCTGTTTAATGGTAAATTAGTCCTCTCTAGTTCTCTCTCAGTTCTTTTCCCAAAACAGCGATTATCGCCTTTTACACATCACCATTGGGTTACTTGTACATCATTGACGATTTCTGTTTACATCGGCCTATTGCCCAGGCCTTGTGGGAACTGAAGGATGCTCCTGTTCCTCAGTGGTGCAGGCGCTGCAAGGTTTCATCATGCTGTTTGTATGTGGGTGTGTGTCCCAAGAGAGGGGGCTGTGGTGAAGCTGTCCTGGGGGAGAGATTTGGTTGGTGGGGTGGTGGAGGTAGAGTCAGTCCCCATAGACACAGACACGTACAGACACGTTGACTTCTGAGTGAGGTCCCAGTAGTATCCTCTCTCTCTCTCTCTCTCTCTCTCTCTCCCTCTCCCTTTGCTCTGCATGACACAGCCACTTGATTTGTTTGTTTTCCTAGCCAAAGGAAAATCATTCAAAATCTCTCTCTCTCTCTTTCTCTCAGTCTCTCTCTCCTTTATCTCTTCATTGTTTTCTCCCTTTCTCTTCTCTCTCTTTCCCTCTCTCATACACTGTCTCTTTCTCTTCACTCTCTTTTCTCTTTCTCTCTCTCTGCTCTGCATGACACAGCCACTTTGTTTTCCTAGCGAAAGGAAAATCATTCAAAATCTCTCTCTCTCTCTCTCTCTCTCTCTCTCTCTCTCTCTCTCTCTCTCTCTCTCTCTCTACATTGCGACAGTAGATGCCACAGCCAGATGCCACTCTATTAGAGGTCGGTGCAGGGGGTGTGTGCGTGTGTGTGTGTGTTTCTGACACGCTCACACACTCCAACCTGCAGCTATTAATACCACCAGCCAACAGAATATGTGGAGAGATGTTATCC